AATAAGGATGAAGTTGAGTTGGGTTCATTCATGACTATTTAACCAGCGCACGTGTGAGAAATATTTCCTGCTTCTGACTTTGCTAGGCCTCGACTGGTTATCGCAACGCAACCTATGAACAGACAAAGCAATAGCGCCACCTGTTGGTGAGATTTAACCCAGCACACTCCCACTCATTTCGCAGTCTGAAGGATCGGGCCCAGATGCTGCGATAGCGTCTGCCAGATGGAAGGAGAAAAAAGAAAAGAAAGAGTCCACGTGAGAGGTGGGAGGAGGCTGCATCACCAGGAAGCCTTGCTCACGCTTGTGAAAGATGTCCTGTAAGAGAGAGAGAGAGAGAGATGTTCTGATGATCTTGGCAGCTGTTTTAACTATCTGATGTAGCTGGGGTCACCGACTTTGCAGTTTCTGAACAACATCCCTGCTGAGTTTGTCAAATAGTTTTGGGGGGATAATGGTGTTGAATGCTGAGCTAAAGTCTATGAACAGCATTCTGACATAGGTGTCTTTCTTGTCCAGGTGGGAGAGGGAGAGGTGAAGAGCAGTGGAAATAGCATCCTCGGTCGACCTGTTCGGCCGGTATGCAAACTGCAGCAGATCCAGTGATCTGGTGGCATGTCACATGTGGCATGACAAGTTTCATGAAGCAGTTTATGATGATGGGGGTCAAGGTGATGGGACGGTAGTCATTAAGCACACTGAGGATTTCTTTGGCACCAGGATGATGGTGGTGGACTTGACCAATTCCTGAGTTTTGTTTTCTTTCTCTGTAAGGTGATAATGGGTTGCCTGACTCATTTAATTTAATTAATAATAGAAACATTAATAAAACCCTTTAATTCAGCCATTTGCCTCCCTGTCTCCTTTTTTCAACTGAAAACTTACTGAAAAGTTATGGTAAATGGCCTGTATCTGTATAGCGCTTTAATTAGACCGTAAGGACCCCAAAGCGCTTTACACTACAACACACACACATCACAAGCTACATTGTAGCCAGAGCTGCCCTGGAGCGCACTGACAGAGGCGAGGCTGCCGGACACTGGCGCCACCAGGCCCTCTGACCACCACCAGTAGGCAACGGGTGAAGTGTCTTGACCCTCACCTTCTTCCAACTCAACAAAAGTGCCGTCAAACGTTTGTGCTGCAGTATTTGTGTTTGTGCTGCTTCTGTGTTAAAGTTATTCATGAAAATGTAAAAGGTCACACATACACACGTTTATCCAAAGCAAACAAATTTGATGTCAATCAATTGTACTACTTTTGTGCTGGTATTATTTTAAAAATATGAGAAGAAAGAAGAAGAATCTTTTTACAGTAAGAAGGGGGCTAGTTGACTACAGATGACCTCTAGAAGCTTTGATTTATATCTCTGAAAGGATAGCAGCACAAACAACTATTTTTGCAGCATAAATGTCACAAAAACATTTGACACCACCTCTGTTGGAAAAGATGGGGAGCAAACTTCACACTCATTAAAAATCATCTATTGAGTATTTTTCTGGGTAACCGTATAGAGTTTAAATTTTCACCTCCCTCTTTCCTATTAAACCCACAGGCCGTTTTAATACCACAGAGGCATGACACCGAATGAGTCATAACTCATGCAAACATCAACAACCACCCAGAGAAAACACCATCAGTTACAAACGTTTTTGCACTGTCTTCCTCGCCTGTAAATAAACCCCAGGGGGTATTATGAAACATGATCATCCAAAATGTTCCTGAGCAGTTTCTATTTTTCATATTTTGTGCCAATTTATAAATACAGCCAGTCCAGCACTAGAAATAAGTCCTGAGCCATCAACACAGCGACCATGAATAAATCAGGAAGATGACACTCAAAGATGAGCTGATAAACAGACTCTACTGTAATAACAACGATCCACATCTGTGCTTTATGAGCTGCCTGCATCATCTTATAGACTCAAATAGAATAGCCCTTCATTGTCATGTAAAACTAAATTAAAGGTTTAGCATGCCAACTGTACAGGAGTAAAAAAAAAATAAACACATCAGGAATAAGCACCAATCAGAAGAGATGTATACAGTCAAGAGGAATACATATAAAAACAATAGAGAGGCACACACTGTTCTCATCAGTTAACAGAACCAGTTTAAGTCAAGATTTTTCTGGAGTTCAGATTCTGACAGTTGTGTACTTTTTCCCCCCCTTTAACAGGAAATAAATACAGAATAATTCGAGTCCCTGTTCATGCTGCTCAGAGTATAAAACACTTGAAAATATATTAACTTCTTATAAAATTTTTTTTTTTTTTACTTTGATTTTTATTAGGTTATTTTGACATTGTGGACATACAGTAAAGAAAATAACAAACAGACATACATATAAACAAACATAGAGTCTGGAGTTTACATATCTTTCTCCATTTATCACGTTGCAGAAAAAAAAAAAAAAGAAAACCTATTATGTTATTTCATTTGTGTCACTTCTGAATGTTTTCCACTTCCTCCATAGTATGTCGTATTTACCTCCCATCAGTCTAATGTTGAGTGTTATTTTTTCCATCTCTGAGATATCCTCTACAATACTGATCCAATCCCGCTGGGTGGGAGGATCTGGGTGTAACCACTTCTTTGTAATTGCTTTTTTTGTTGCGGCCAGAATTATTTTGACTAAATACACGTCCTCTCTTTGTATGTATTCTTTTATGTTTCCTAGATACATCACTTGGCAAGTATTTGGGAATGTATAACTCAAAATATTATCCATATTCATTTTTAAGTCTTCCCAATACTTTTTAATTTTAATGCATTTCCAGAACACATGAGAATGATCCGCTTCCATTTCTCCACACAATCTCCAACAATTTTGTAAACTTGAGGTCAGTTTGCTTTTTATTTTGGGTGTAATGAAAAAACGTGTCAAATTTTTCCAACAAAATTCCCTCCACAACGGCGAATTAGTTGTACTGTGTTGCAATTCACACATATTGAGCCATTCTTTCTCTGTTATTTTTATGGTCAGTTCGACTTCCCATTTCTTTTTAATATAGAGTGTTGAATCTTGTCTATTTTCTTCTAATGACCTATAGAAGGTGGAAATAATTTTAAATTGTTTATGTTCATAGCAATCTTTTACTTTTCCGACAACCCCAGTGGTTTCCCAAGCCAGTCAGATTTTATTTGTTTTGCGTAGTAGTCCCTAACTTGCAAATATCTAAAGAAATCTCTATTTTCCAATTTGTATTTGTTTTTTAGTTGTTGGAAACTCATTAGTCCTCCGTTTTTCATAAGGGTACAAACTGCTGTAATCCCTTTTAGTTCCCACTGTTTGAATGTTTGGTCCAATTGTCCTGCCTTGAAATTTTTATCATGTCTAAACCATCTGAGTATAAATAATTGTTCTTTTAACTGACATTTTTCTATTACTGTGTGCCATATGTCTAATGTAAATTTCACAATTTGATTCATTCCACTTTTATTCTTTGTCATTAAATGTTTGTCAGAGATAAAAATCTGAATGTTGTTTCCCTCGATTTCTTTCTCAATTTCCTTCCATCTTGCCTCATATTCTGGTCTACACCAACCAGCAAGTGGTCTGAGTTGGGCTGCATAAAAGTATTCCCTTAGGTTCGGCAAGGCCATCCCTCCCTTGCGCTTCGGGAGTTGCAGTGTTGTTAGTCTTATTCTGGGCTTCTTCCCACCCCAAATAAACTTTGATATCATCTTGTCCCATATTTTGAAATTTTTTTGAGATATAGGAAGTGGGAGTGACTGAAACATGTATAACAGTCTTGGGAGAACATTCATCTTTATTATTTGGATTCTTGAGTAGAAGTTTGTAGGTGTTGCCGACCACCGTTCTAGATCTTTTCTAATGTTGCCCTCCACCTGATTATAGTTTATGTCCGCCATATCTGATAATGATTTTGTCAAGGTTACGCCCAAATATTTCATGTTGTTCGAGTGCCAATTTAATTTGTATTCGTCTCTGATCTTTTGGGAGGGTATATAATTGAATGATAGAATTTGTGTTTTGGATACATTAATTTTATAGCCTGACAAGTATTCAAAGGTATGGAATAGTTGCATCAAAATTGGGAAGCACTTGTTTCGTAGAAAAATAATAACGTCATCAGCAAACAATCCAATAAGGTGTTTTTGTCCAGCAAGGGATACCCCCTCCAACTTTGAATGTTGTCGCTCTGCTTGTGCTAGTGGCTCAACATATAAAGCAAAAAGAATTGGTGACAAGACACAGCCCTGTTTTGTACCTCTATATAGCCGAATTCTATCTGTCAGACTACCATTCACCTTGATTCTAGCTGTAGGTTGATTATAGATTGTCCTTATACATTGTATTGAGCTGTCCTTAAACCCGAATTTTTCCAATACTCCAAATAGGAAGAGCCAGCTTACGCTATCAAATGCCTTTTCTTGATCTAAGCTAATTAACACAGTACTGATATTCGTTTTTTCTGCATTGTCAATAATGTGAAGGACTCTCCTTATATTGTCCTGTGCCTGACGTCCCTTGATGAATCCAGTTTGATCCACTTCTATCAGATCTGGTACAAATTTTTGGAGTCTTTTGCTAATGATCGAAGCGTACAATTTATAGTCGTTATTTAGGAGGGAAATGGGTCTATAATTCTTGCAGTATTCTTTGTTTTTTCCTTCTTTGGGTAAGATTGTTATAATAGCTTCTCCCCATGATGGTGGAGCTATTCCCTGATTCAGAGTCCAGTTGAAGCAAGATAGAAGAAGTGGCTTGAGTTCTTCTTTGAAAACTTTGTAAAATTCAGCCTGAAAGCCATCGCTTCCTGGGGCTTTATTTGTTTTTTGTTCGGCAATAACTGTATCTAGTTCCTTATCTGTAATCTGTGAAATCAGTAACTTGTTTTGGGTATCTCCTATGGAGGGCAGATCCAGCGGGTCAAGAAAATTTTTTATTGTCTCAAGGTCTGCGGCTACCGGTTGTGAATACAGTCTCATGTAATATTTTTTAAACTCATTTTCTATCTCATTAGGCATATAGTGTAATTTGTTACTATCCAAATTTCTTACTTTATCAATAATCCTTGATCTCTGCTTTTTACGCAGTCTACTGGCAAGTATTTTAGTTGCTTTGGGCCCTGATTCGTAATAGGTTTGTTGCATATACCTAGCCTTTTTTTCTACTTCTTCTTTTAGTAATTCATCAATTTGGTTTCTGATGTCTGATATTTCTTCTAGAATTTCTGGATTTTTAAGTAGTTTATGTTCCCTCTCCAGATGTTTAAGTTTTTCTGTCAAATTTTTATATAAGGCCAGTCGCGCTTTTTTTGTGCTGCTGTTAGGGCTATGAGTTTTCCCCTTAAGACTGCCTTTAATGCATCCCAAAGTATAGTTGGGCTCACATCTCCGGTATCATTGTCTTCTATATACATTTTTATATCTTCTTTAATTTTCTTAACATGTTCATCCCTATTTAAAATACCCAAATTAAGTCTCCATGCTGTATGTATTTTCCTATTATCGAGACTGATTTCTAGACTAATCAAACTATGGTCTGAGACATCTGCCACACCTATTTTACAATCTGTAACATTATGAAGTTCTTCAATATTAATTAGAAAATAATCAATTCTCGAATATGTGGCATGAGGTGCAGAGTAGTGGGTGTAGTCCCTGGTTTGAGGATTACGTGTTCTCCATACATCAATCAGTCCCACCTCTTGTAATATTGTATTCATAAAATTAGACAAACGATGTTTACATGTTGCAGCACTGGTAGTGTCAATATCCCGATTTAGCACAGCATTGTAATCCCCTGCACATATCACCAGACTTTCAGATTCTTGTGTCACTAAATTGAATAAATCTTTGTAATCACTTTTCTTACTTCCTGGTGGGGCGCAGATATTAACCAGGGTAACTAGTTTATTTTCCAATTTCCCTTTAATTAGTAAGTATCTACCCTCTTTATCAGACACTTCTTATAAAATAATATATCTCATGGTGTTGTAAACTATTTAGTGACAAATACAGCACATAGTGTTTGTACCATTATTAACAAAGAGGAAAAAACACATGAGCCACATTAGCTGTTTTTGCAGCAGCTCGAATGTGTCTACAAAACATTAGTTTTTAAAAGAAATATTTATTTATTTTATTTTAAAAAATGCATTTTAGCTGTGCTGTAGTTATGTTTTTCACTGTATTCATTTACTCTTCGGGGACTGTACCATCAACTCAAACTGTAACAGCAGACTCAAGAATCAGGTGACATTTCAGTGCAGCTCGTTTCCAGCTTCATCGCTCTGCAGGAGATCCTCACGGGTTTGTTTGTCTGCTGGTCTTTGTGTTAGAAGCAACAGAGACGACATTAAACAGTAAACTGGTTCTTATGTAATGCTTTTCTACTGTGAGCACTCAGAGTGAGCCCTTTACACAACTTGCCTCATTCAAACATTCACACCAGCACTTTTTCTGTGAGCTTTTTGTCTAACATTTAGACTCCAATGACTGCATCTGAGAGCAACTTGGGCTAAGTATCTTCCCCGAAAATATTTAGGATGCAGACTGGAGCCAACCCTCCCATTAGTAGGGAACCTGCTCTACCCCCACAGCTACAACCACCCCAAACAGTAAAATCAATGCAGTTGCTACAATCACTGCAATCACTATGGCTGCTATCTGTCCAACACGCCACTTTTCTCTCTCCATGTTCCCTCCAACATCCCTGTTTTCTCTCTCAGTGTTTCCTCCACCCGAGGTATCTTTAGTAGTCTGTTCCACCCGGACACTGATGGAGCTCCGCTTGTTTCTTGTTCTCCTCGTTCCGACAAAACACTCATATCTGCCCGCATCATTGAAGGTGACATTCTTAAGAATCACTGAAACGTCTCCATTCTTCATGTCCGGGTCTCTCAGCTTCACCCGGCCTTTGTAACACGGATGCTGATATTTTTCATAGGAGCGCTGCTCTCTGTAGTACCACACGTAGTCTGTCAGCTCAGGTCTGCTCCACTCCAGCAGCTCGATGGGAGCATCTGTAAAACCCCAACACTGGAGAGTGACGTCCTCTCCCTGCTTCACTGTGATCACCTCATCCGGATCTAAACCACAACAGAAGAACAGTCATTAGTGCTTCAGCTCAAAGAAAACTACAGGGAAAAACCCAAAAAGGTCAAAGTGTTTCATATGTGATGAGTGGACACACAGACACATCCAACATCCAGGTGAGACTGAAATCACGCAGATCTGCTGAAAGTAATTTAAACTCTAGCCAAACATTTGTGCTTGCACACAGGGCTGGAATGGGACAAAACCTAAATCATAAAAGGAGGCTAACCCAGAGAGAATGTATTTGTAACTTATATTAATTTCAAACAATAACAGACCATGTTGATCATATTCTAATAATCCAGCTGAAACGCACATAACCAAGAGTGAAAATATAATATATGTAAATGTGTGATCAGTGTGATCAGTTCACACATGTAAATAGTCTGCTACTAAGAAGCTGAGGTATACATCATCTACAGCAATCTGAGAAGTGTCACAAAATTATAAATGAATAAATAAAATTATCTGCCCTCACTTGATGCACTCCAAGATATTTTCGTCCGTCACACGAGTGTCGTTTCAATCAACCATTCAACGCTGAAAACCACAAAGTAGTGAATCACAAAGCGAAACTCCAAAGACGTGTGACAGGATGACTCAGCAACAGGTGAAAACACATTCTGGGAATCCGAGCACAGAGCGAAGACCTACCGCAGGTTACACTCGTTACCTGCATGTTTACATTCATTTTTCATTCATGTTCATTTATCGTGTCTGACGAATGTTTTCGTAAACTTTGAGAAAGTTCACGAAAACACGCAGATCTGCTGAATTTCGTAAACTTTGCTGAAGCATTTCGTAAATATTTCAGCAAAGTTTACGAAAACAGTCGTTCCTCACCGATGATGATGATGAACTGGCAGGTCTGTTACCGACAGCTAATATCTGCGTCCACACATGAAGCGAGCAGAACAGAAGCCGAAAGTGGACCGCATCCTCCAACTGCAAGGATGGCGCAAAAATAAATAATAATAATAAAAAAAACACACACGCATATCAACCAGTTCCTATTTGTTTACCTTTTGATAGTGAAGTCCAAATCATCAAAAAGAAAAAGAAAACAGATATGAGCCACATTCCTGTAGTTTAAGTGATTCCAGCGCAATCGCTTAAAGAAAGTACGTATTGGTGCGTGCAGGGTCCAAATATCGCAATGTCGATACCAACTCTTGTACAGATACGGATCAATGAGATCGACACTTTAGATGCGATGTCATCGAAGAGGAGACCCGACTGTGTGTGCAAGAACCGCTGCTTTCACAAGTCACAGAGCCGCCGCCTCCTTTCTTTTGATTGTTGTACTGTCACGTGACTCATGCAGTGTCGGGCAAACAAGTAGCGTCAACTATTACACTTTGGGAGTGAGAACGTGTTGGCCTGAAAACACGTGACGATGTGAAACTACACTCCAAGATGAGCCGAGTGCCTCTGACACCTGGGGACAGAAAGAGAGGAGGATCCGAAATCATGTAGCTAATGTACCATTGTCACACAGACGAGGACAAAACATCAAGAAAGCCCTTTATTGTCACTGTACAGGAATTAGATTGGTTGGAAAAAAACTTTGTAAAGATATCCTCTCCCTCCATCTATCTAAACTACTAAGAATCCGACATATGCATCGTCTGCAGCAGTGTGAGGAAAGGAAGTGTCACAAAATTACAAACAAATAGCTGAACTACTTCATAAAGTCAGTATGCCCTCACAAGATGCACTCCCAGATGCCAAAGTTGTTTCAATTATTAGTTTATTAATCCAGTTTGGCAAGCAATATCATTAATTTTATGATTGGAAAGGTCCGGGGTTTGAATCCACTGAGCTGCCCAGAGGTACCCCTGAGCAAGGTACTGTCTCTAGACACTGCGCCCTGAGCGCTGGATTGGTGGCTGCGCACTGCTTCACTGAGTGAATGGGTTAAATGCAGAGAGGAATGTCCCTACACGATTAATAAAGGATAGTTTATTAATCCCAGAGGAAAGTATGTGAGCACAGTTGCTCCAATAAATTAGAACAGTAACAAACAAGGTAAAGTGCCTGTAGTGGCAATTCCTTTTGTTCGACCAACCAAACATCCCACAATTAAAAATCCACAAACCACTGCTGCACTGAGATAATATTTCGTACGCAGGCCCACCCCAGGACATGCTGGTCCTATACCAGTCTCTTTATTTATAGAAGCAAAATGGCCCTGCAGCTCTTACTGACTAATGTAACAAGGTAACATCAAACAAACAAAACATTGAAACAAATATTAACCTACAAATAAACTTGTAAATAAACCCCAAAATATAAGTAAACTAACAACAAACTTTAACTAATTTCAAAATAATAAAAATAAAGAACAAATAGCTCCAACAGTGCCAACATCCCTGCTTCCAGACTTGGTTGTACTTTGCTTGCACGTGTATTAATGTTTCAGAGATGCAACAACCATTTCCTGATGTGAAACAAAGAGCGGAACAGGACTGTGGTTATCTTTCATGAATGCTGCGGAAACAAGCCGACTCCTGAAAATGAACTGTGTCCACATGTCTTTGTTTCCATTCTGTCCCTGGAGAGTGACCCAGTTGTTCATTAACATGAACTCATGTTCACCACTTCCAGAAATGAAAGTAATGCAAGCACAGCAAACATCTACTTAAGAAGCCGTTTGTCTTCATGTCAGTGTTTAAGACAATCAGGAATCTTAACCACCCACAGCACTGGATACAAATAAAAAAAAGAGGAGTCAAACATGTGCAGGTCTATTCTTTACTTTTGTGATTTCTGTGTCAGCTGAGGTCTTTTGTTGCTATAAAACCAACGACTTGATCAGTTGTGTTTCTGTTGTTTTGAAATATTTGTATTTGTCTCCTTTTTGCTAAACAGCATCATACCAGCTAACCAGGCCCATGAAGTGGAGGTTAAATAAAGCTGTGATGTATAAAGCTGCTTTTCAGCTGGTTAACAAGAGAGTGGAGAAGAGATCTAACTTTGTATATAAATAAGACTGAGCACGCATCAGTACAACCCGTCTACTTCTTCCTTCTTCTCTCATTAGGGATCGCCACAGCAGATCATCTGCCTCCATCTCACCCCATCTCTACCATCCCCCTCTAACGTGCCAACACTGCTGATTTTCTTTGGCGAACAGAAATCCAAATACATTTCAGTTTTAAATGTCTAATGGGATGAAAAATGAAAATGAAAATAAATTTCAGTAGAAATACCACAAGGAATTATCAACACTGATATAAGGCACAGTCATACATGAACAAGTGAACAAATGTTAACAGTCTGTAGTTGATTAGATATTCATTTTCATCCAGTTGTCCAGTTCAAGTTAGCGGAGGGTGATAGAGTTGTGGCTGGAGCCTGTACAATTCCCCAGTTTCAGGGAGTCTTCAGGAGGCACATGTAGACTCTGCCCTGAAGCAGCAAACACACAGGAGAAAAACACAGTGGGCACATCTTAGTTTCACTTTGAAAGGTCTGCAAACAAACGATGAATGAAGCCGAAATATAAATGTGCCAGCTTTGACTACTGATGGGACACCCAGCTGATTTCAAAGAGTCCTTAATGTTTAGTACCCACGTCTTTGGTGTGACAGGAATGACTCATTTAACCCACATGAGCCCATCACAACCGTTAACAACAGGCAAGTGAAACTGTGTGAACACCTCAGGCCTGTTAGGGACACGACCCTCTCAGTGATGTCACAGCTAAATGGAGACGGCCCCATCAGTTACAGAAAGCATTGGCACTGTTCTTCCTCATTTTTAGATAAAGCTACGGACGGAATAAAAAAACTAAACACAACAATAGCCATCAACCTCCTGACGAATTTCTATTTTTCATATTTTGTGCCATTTTTGTAAATACAGCAAACCAAACACTAAGAATAAGATCGGAGCCATCGGCACAGCGTCAATGAATAAATCAGGAAGATGATACTACAAGATGAGCTGACAGCGTGTCACATGGTAAGGAGGATCCAAAATCACTGACACCCACACAGAGGACAAAACATGAAGAAATCCTATCAGTGCCTAGAAAATGTCCATCTGAGTACCAGATCTATAGAAGCCAACACGACCCTGCAGGCTGTGTAAAGGTGTCACAGAGACTATCCAGCACATAAGATGCAAGCTAGGACAGCGTACGACCAAGTGGCTGGGAGAGATTACAGGAACGTCTGAACTCCTAATGCCCAAAAATCCATCTGGGAAGGATGATGTGAAATTTTTCTTTCTTTAGTGAATCTTACATTTGGAATCAACATGAAAACACAATCACTGCTTTGTGAAACAATTACATTTCTCTGTAAAAGCCTCACAATGAATAACAACAACAGGGCCGTGCAGAGAGGTTTAAAGGGGCGGGTGCTCAAAGTTAAAAAGGGGCACATTGAACCAGGCTGAATAACAACAACACACATTCATCAAGAATCTAATATGGGCAACACGGCAAAGCAAACGTCGCCAACGTTTTACCTGATGGGTACATGGTAAATGGCATTTGTATAGCGCTTTTCTAGTCCTTAAGGACCCCAAAGCGCTTTACACTACATTCAGTCATCCACACATTCACACACAGGCAATAGCAAGCTACATTGTAGCCACAGCCACCCTGGGGTGCACTGACAGAGGTGAGGCTGCCGGACACTGGCGCCACCGGGCCCTCTGACCACCACCAGTAGGCAAACATGGGGTTAGTATCTTACCCAAGGATATTTGGCATGCAGCCAGGAGGCAGCCTGGGATCGAACCACCGACCTTCTGATTAGTGGCTGACCTGCTCTGCCACCTGAGCTACAGCCACAGTACAGTGTTGCTGTTGAGGGGTTTCTGCTGCTCCTGCTGCTGATAGTGCTGGAGGGCAGGGCTGTGTTGATCTGAGACTGTAGACAGTAAAAAGTCCACAGGAGAGATGGTAGCTGATTAAACAAGTATCATGAGATAATAACTAAATGCAAAGATTGGTGACAGCGCTTGGAACCATAAGGCAACAAAAAACTGTGAGAAATAATTTAGGCTCTGCCTGTGAATCACTCTTTGCTTCTCTTCTTCCTTCCATCCCATCATTTCATATATCACTCTCCACTTGCTGTCTATCTGAGAACAAGGGACAACTTGCTATTGCAATAAACTATAATCTAATTATCCACACCTAACAACTCCAGCACTTAATCTATAATAAAATGATGACAGAAAAATGTTATAGCCCTGCCTTTAGTAGCCTCACACAGCTCCTACTGTTTCCTCCTCATGTCCTTACCAGCCATGTCTGCACAATGTTATATCATGAGTAATATTTTTTTTAAAAATCCATCTAAATAAAACACACACATGCACGCACACACACATTAAAATAATAATAATAATAATTTTTTTTTTTTAAAAAGTTGCCTCAACAAAAGGGCACTTTGGGCACCCATCAGGAAAGGGGCGGGTGCTCAAGCCCCTCTAGCCCCCCCCCCCCCTGCACGTGCCTGAAATAGCAAACAGCCATCCTAAATTCAACTCAGTGCAGTTACATTCCTCTGACTGTGGGTGATTCTGGGCTTCTGCTGACACCTGGTGGATACACTACAAAGTTTACAAAAATCATTTAAACACATCATTTAAACTGTATGTCATATTCCTAATGTTTTTTCATTATATCATATCATGTTTATCACTGTGAGCAGCTTTGTCTTTGTGTTTTGTCTTATAGATCATTAAATATGAGTGTGATCTCACGTTCTCTTTAACGCTCCTTTAGCATTATGCTGCCTATATTCCCTCCACTGTCTACAGATGAACACTCTTCAAGTCCTGTTTTTGTCTCTAGTTCTTGGGTCTACAGGTGAGTGAAAGAGCATTCTTACATTTTTATTCTTTAATGGTATTTCTGTTGAAAAGGGTTCATGTTATTCATCGTCTCATCAGTGTTGCTAATGAGTGATAAAGGTGCAGTAGGCCTCTCTTCAGTACCAACAAAGTATGGTTCTAGACTGAGATGTGAAAAAACAAAACTGACACTGCAGAGCGACTGACCAACATTGCAGAGGACACAATAAGATAAACGAGGCTGCAGCGACTCACAGAAACATAGAAGCCAAACTCAAATTCAGTTTTATTTATATATCACAAAACAACAACAGGGGCCTCAAAGCACTTTATATTGTGAGGTAAAGACTCTACAGTAATAACAATGATTCCCATCTGTGGTTTGTTTGTCTCTGAGCTTTGTGTCAGAAGCAACAGAGACGACACTAATCAGTAACCAGTAAACTGGTTCTTATGTAATGCTTTCCTACTCTATCTGAGCATTCAAAGCCCGTTACACGCCCACCTTATTCACTCATTCACACCAGCACTTTTTCTATGTAAGCCTTCTATCTGATGATGGGAGTTGACAGTTTTTGTTAGCTTGCAGAATGATCTTTTTCTTGAAATCTCATCTGTGTGAACATGGTCAACAACAAGTAGCCTAATGCTGTTAGACCTGTTTTATTGGCCTGACAGTGTCTGCGTGTTTCAGCGAAGCTGAACACAACATGGAGATTATTGTTTTACTTTTCACAGAATAAATTTTTTAAAACACAAACTCTTGGACACAGTTCACACGGCTCTTATACTGCAAGTCAAACCTTCTTTGGAGTATTGGAGGAGAAAGTGAGTAACTCTGCAGGGACCTGGTGGACAAAGGTGATAATGACACATTAACCCTTTAAGACCTACCATAGAACCAAGTCCGCCAGAGCTTATATTATATTTTTACATGCTGTGGAGCCATTTTTGGGAGCATTTCAAGTTGCTATACATCAATACAACCATTATAGCCCAAACTTTAATAATATGTCTGCATTAAGTGCATAGAAATTACATAAATTGCAAGAAAATGCAATAAACTACAAAAACATTGAAAATCGTTTTTGTTTTTTTAATATATATTTCTAGTTAGAGAAATTTAAGAGGCTTATCCCTCAAAACTGTAAATACAAAAAAGTTGCACAAAATAGTTTCCTACCACAGGAAATTTATTTTGAGTGTCATCATAGTTTTATTTTTGAAATACACCAATTTTTATATACTGCAGGAAAAACGAAAATAAATATTATACTGCAAATTTGCAAAAAGCAGCATATGCATCAAAATAAACTATTTCCAGCAGTGCAATATGAGTCCTAAGCATCCCAGAAACGACACAGAAAGGCATAAAGTCAAAGATAACTTTTAAAAACACCAGTATAGCCTCAATAGTTCACGATGACATCTATTCTAACGTAGGAAGTGTTATGAACAGCTGATCGGATCAGCAAAGCGTGTTTCTGGAATATTATGTTACCCACCACCTGCTTTTCCCTGTGTGGATAAGTAATGTCTGTGTGGCACTGAATTTAAATCAGTCACACAGTCATTTATGAGGCAACATAATGAAGCTCTGTTAGCACCATTATACTGTCTCACTCTTATTTTCTCACCTTTGCAGCTTGTTGTCTTTGTAACAGCTGTTCTCTTACTCATCTGCCTCCCTCCTGCTTCTTGGTGTGTATGTGTGTGTGTGTGTCTGCCTCCCTCCTCTAGAAGTGGCTGTTCTTTAGTGGTATGTAACCTGCACCTCTCCTTGTCATACTTCATCAAATTGTTATGTTACTCAGTCAGTGCGGTGGCTGCTTCACTGTTTAAACTTTCTCTCGGTTCACTTTTAGCTGTTGACCTGCCTGTTAGTCACAGACACCCACCTGCTGTGCTGAAGATCCAGTTGTGAGAGCCAGCCTGCTGTTCTTAAACCCACTAAGAGCAGAAATCCTGTGAGCAGAGTGGGCTGGTCACTAAACCAAATCAGAGGAAAGACAAAAAAGAAACCTGTCTGACGGCTCGCTGATACAAGCAAATAAAATGTATCGCCAACTGCTGCACCTGTAACAGACCGAAAACCAAAACAAAGATACGACATGTGGGACACAAAAATGAGAAATACATAAATCAACAATCTTCTTATTGTGTGTGTGAGTGAGAGAGTGTCACAAATATGTGATAATGAGGGTGTTGAAGCTGCAGCGACACCCCCCAGAAGCCTGAAGGTAGACAGAGGTGAAACGGGGACAACCGGGCCCCAAGAGTACCAAAGGCCCGACAAATAACCGGATTATTTGTAACCTAAAAAGTGTCATCTGTGCCTTAAAATGTGCGTGACATATCCCAAAAATATGAGACCGTCAGTGACAGTAACAAACTGATCAGGTCTGATTGCAGTCTGCTGTGTGGGGACTTTCACCTGCTACTGTAGGGTCTACCTTACAGTAGCAGGTGACTGTTGTTGATTTGGGGCTGTATAAATAAAACTGAACCTGCATCATGCTTAACTGCGGTCAAAAAGCACAAAGACCAACGAGTCTGACTGGATTCTTTGGTGGGGCCCTGATGACTGCTAGGAACAGGCGGAGCTGGACATAAATTTGACATATTTAAAGTCTAAGATGACCTGAAAGAGGTGCAGTTAACCATGGCTCTCCAACAGTTTGTGTGCTGCTTCACTGTGGTGATCGTTTTCTTCTGCAAAGGTGAGAAAATTATTTGATTGGTTGTTCTCTTTCTATAAAGCAAAGACATGTCACTTAAAGATGAACTGGTAGGTTAATGTTTAAAGGTTTTATGTCAAAATTATCAACATCATCAATGAAAAGTTGAAGTTTGTCTCAGAAAAGATGCAGATTTTCTTAAAAGCTGTTCTAAATATAGAAACTAGACCTAAAGATCTACAATCCCCTCCCCCTAAAAAGTGTTGTGTTTAGTGTGATCAGTTCTTCAAGTTCGAAGAAAGCAGTCAGTGCTTACTTTCACAGGTTTAACAGGTTTGTCTGTGTGTTCTCATTTCCAGGTTGTCACTCACAGCAGCCCAGTAAGCATCCAAAGACATTTGAACCTTGTCTTCCTTCTGTCAGCTGTACAGTAATGAGCACATATAAAACTGTGATGTCCACATTTGAGTGTGCTGACTTTGGTTTTTCTATAAACTGTGATGTGATTTTGTTCAGTAAAATCTTCCAGTTTTCTGACACAGAGGAGGAACATTTGTGGATCACATGTAAACCACAGTCTAATGTTAAAATAACAGCCACATGAATGTCACTGCTCAGGATCTCCCAGCAGAGCATTGATCAGTGTTATCTCTCTGAGTGGTTTTAATGTGGTGGCTGATCTGTTTAGCTGTGCTCTCTCTTCTCTTGTCAGCATGTGGCAGAAGTGCTGTGAACAGCAGCAGCATCACAGGAGTTCGTGACGCTGCACCAGGAAGTTGGCCCTGGTTCGCTGCTGTAAACACTTATTCTGCAGGGTCTCTGATCACCGACCAGTGGGTGCTGACAGTTGCATCCTCCGTACCAACGTGAGTCACTGCTGCAAGTTTACACTTTGTTGAGGAGTAATATGATGATGAAGGTGAAGTGCAATATTTATGTGCACTAGAGATGTTTTTTTTTAATATTTCCTCACTTCTTTTAACATTTAAAAACAACAGCTGTTACACAAATTGCTGAACTGCAAAGTACAGAGTTGTCTGCACAACAATCAAACCAGATGTCACATTAATTTAATTTAATCCTGTCGTGTTATTCAATTATACTGTACGATTCATAACCACACTTTATTTTCTTGTTCTTGCTCTGCCCACATATAACATAACATTCTATACAAAAACACACTGGTCTCGCCCTCTAGCTGCCATCAGCCTAACTACACTGACCGGCTGCATTAACATCTACTGTACAATGCAATTACACCACACATCCAAGTAATTGTTTTTTCGGAGCATTGATTTGTCAAAGATATGCTGTCACATGAAAATATTGATCATTCTGTCCATTCATGTCAGAAGATGGTTAGCTTAGCATAAAGTTTTTAAACGGGGAACCTGCAGCTAATAAATACAACTACGCACCTCTGTAAGGCTCATTAACGAACACATGCTGGGAAAGACTCAGTCACACAGTCAATTGTTTTGTGAGTTTTCTTTGTGTGCAGGCTGTGATCAGCTGACCTCACGTCACAGTCGCTGCTCACTTCAAAAACATATAAACAGATTTACATGAGTTACATGAGCTCTGTGGCTGATAGCCAAACCCTGCACTCTCTAATGTCAGCATTCAAAAGAGAACTTAAGGATTGGCATAAATTGACTTTGGTGTCTGCACTCTAACACTGACCACGCTCTGCACCAGCCCAACACAGAGCAGCTCTGTAACCTTCACCACAGTCCTGCAAACTAACCAGTTTAACCTGAACTAATCTGATGCTTTCATGCAACCTTTGAAAAACACAGAATTATCAGCAGCACAATCACTGATCCAAGATCTGATTTTAGAAACTCATGAATGAATCATAAAGATGTAAGTTACATATCCGGACATGTTGGAAAAAGTTCCTGCTTTAAAAAAGTATCACACACAGTTTGTGTGTTTGCTGATGTTTGTTGAGCTTGCTCCTCTACAAACACTAGATCTCCATGCAGCACCTGAAATATAAACTTACTCAGTGTTATGGATGAATCTGACCATCAGAGTTAATTACTCATTTATGTAGTGCGCCAGCAGGTTCAACCACCTGAGCGCGCGCACACACACACACACACACACACACACACACACACACACACACACACACACACACACACATACATGACAAAGGGCTGAAAGGAAAAAGGAAACTCGTGACATTGACTGCTTTGCTCTGTGACAATGATCAACATGAGGCACAATAAAAATATCTGTTGTGTGTGAAGGGATTACAGTAGCATGGTGGTCTTGCTGGGCAGCAACAGGGTGTTAGATCCAGACCCAAATAAAGTGAGGCTGAACGTGATAAACGCCACCTGCCATCCCGGATTCAACTCGTCGACTCGTGAGAACAATATTTGTCTTCTGAAGCTGTCGGCTCCTGTGAATTTCACAGACTACATTCAGCCGATCTGCTTGGCCTCAGAAAACAGCACTTTCAACAATGAGACCAGCAGCTGGGCCATCGGCTTTGGTGACATTGGTAAATCATAAAATATTTATTTGATTTTACAGCATTATGTTGGAGTCTTTAGAAAAGCTTGATGTTTAAATTCTCTCCAAACAGAGGCATTGAGATATAACCTGCAGGAGGCAAAAGTATCAGTAGTGGGAAACGATGTGTGCAAAGCCAGATTTCCATGGATCCCAGACAGCATCATCTGTACTAGAGAGACGAATTCATGTTGGGTGACCACAACTTTATTTACTATAATCTGTTGTTGACTGTCACTGAGATAATCTCATCTTTACTCACACTTTGGTTTACTTGTTTTACTGTCGTTGTCTATAAATATTCATATTCATATTTAATCAAAGGTCTTTTTTTCTTTAAAAAAAAAACTAATTTATTTAATGAAACTGATTCCTTTAAAAGAGCTGTCTGAAACTTTCTGTCTGTGGAATCGTCACTTTCATTTGCACCAAAGCAGCTGAAATGGATTCACAGTGGTTCATGTTTCCTAACTGGACAGACTGACATCGATTAAGTTTTACTGACTGTGATATACTGTGATGATCAACTACTCCCTTAATTTATTTGAGCAGTTTGCAACAAAACTACCAACAAAGTTAAAACTTTCTCAGGTGAAAAAGGTCAACTTCTAAGAGTTACACATCTGTATCTGTCCTAATAACTTTCATCACTGTCTTTCCACAGGATAAACTTGGAGCGCCACTCATGACTCAGAGTAAATCAGTCTGGCTCCAGAGTGGAGTTTTCACAGTGCCTGGATGTACTGCATCTCCTTCAGTCTACACTCCTGTGTCTCAGTACCAGAAATGGATCAGCGACACAGTTACAGGGACACCACCAGGCTTTGTTACCTTCACCTCCCCACACAGTTCATTACAAACCACTGCTCCTCCTACTGCCCCTCCCACTTCTCCGACATGTGTGGGTGTGTTTTGCAGTGGGGAAAACCTGATCCACTTCACTCACTTCTCCTCTCTGTGTGTTCTTGTTGTGTTGCTCCATGTGTTTGCTGGAACTTTTGGAAACTAGATCAACACATTTACTCAAGTTTAATACAAACATGAAGAACATGTCTTAACCAGGTAGAAGAGCTTTGCAATAGCATAAAGACATCATCCTGCCCCTCAGATGGAGTCCCAACCCATTTTCTAAAAAAGATTATTAAGGTAGTCAGTCCTGACATTTTAACTATTTTTAATAGCAGTCTCAGCTCTGGAGTAGAACCAACTGGATACAAGCACGCTGTAGTGCAGCCAGTACTTGATTATTCTGTTCTTGTTCATTTTAGACCTGTCTCCAAGCTACCATTTCTGTCAAAAAATTCTAGGAAGGATTGTATTTGAGCATCTGCAATCCTTTCTAAACAGTCATAATATTTTTGAGAAGTTCCAGTCGGGCTTCAAAACCCACCACAGCACAGAAACTGCCCTCTTAAAAATGCTTAATGATATTTTATTAATCACTGACTCAGGAGACCCAGCTGTGCTCCTGCTCCTAGACTTAACTGCAGCCTTTGATACTGTTGACCACAGCATTCTGATCTCCCGTTTAGCGCAATGTGGTATCAAAGGTATCCCCTTGGAATGGTTTAGGTCGTACCTCTCCAAGAGGACTTTTTCCGTGAGCCTTGATGATTTTATTTCTTCCCCAGCTCTTTTTACTTGTGGTGTCCCGCAGGGATCCGTATTAGGCCCAATTCTTTTTTCAATCTATATGTTGCCCCTAGGCCTAATCTTTAGGAAGCATAACATCTGCTTTCACTCATATGCCGATAACACCCAGATTTATCTTCGGTTTAATAAAAACACCTCTACGCCCATGGAATCGTTAGTCAAATGTCCCGACGAAGTTAAAACCTGGATGGCCTCAAATTTTCTTGCCTTCAACGAGGATAAAACAGAGGTAATTATTTTTGGACCAAGCGGTAATTTCAATGCCCCAGATTTGGACTTATGCAACCTAAAATGTGCTGTTAAAACGCATGTAAAAAACCTGGGGGTTTTCTTGGATAGCAAACTTACATTTGAGAAACAAATTAATTCAGTTGTCCAGCGGTCCTTTTTTAAATTAAGGCTCCTATCCAAAGTGAGATCTTTTCTATCCTATAGAAACTTGGAATGAGCAATTCATGCGTTTGTTTTATCTCAACGGGGTTACTCCAATTCACTTTATGTGGGTGTCAGTCAGTCCAGCTTGGCCCGGCTCCAACTTGTACAGAATGCTGCAGCTCGCCTTTTGACTCGTGTGACGAAACACCAACATATTACTCCGGTGCTTGCTTCCCTTCATTGGCTTCCAGTGCGTTTTAGAATTAAATTAAAAATCTTACTTTTAACTTATAAAGTGCTAAATGGCCAGGCACCGGATTATTTGTCTGACCTTGTGCAGCTGTATACGCCCTCTAGAGCCCTTCGATCAAGTGATCACCTACTCCTTACTTTACATAAGTCTAGAATGGTAGAGGATATCGCGCATTTGCGGTTGTGGCACCGAAAATGTGGAACAATCTACCTCTCCACATTAGAAAGGCCCCAACTGTTATTCTTTTTAAATCGCATCTTAAAACATATTTTTTTACTCTGGCTTTCAAAACTGTAGGGGAGTTACCAATTCTTTTATCCTAATCTGTTTTTAATTTTTATCTGTTGTTGTTATTAATGCCACTGTTTAATTGTTATGTTGTACAGCACTGTTGTTATTAAATGTGCTTTATAAATGAATAAATGAAATGAAATGTATATTTATAGTAATTATAATATGGGAACATTTCCAAACTGTCTCAAGTGTAAGGTCAGAGTGGGCACTAGGTTCCACTGCTTGTGGGAATGTGCTATTATCCAGTCATTTTGGAAAGAGGTCTGCGCCAATATTAGTACAGCCATTAGTCATCAGGTGACAGAAAACCCATTAATGTGTATATTGGGATATATTCCCGTCTCACTGGTACAACATGAGCATGTAATTCAGTCACTGTTAATGTTGGTCAGGAAAAGCATTATGTTGAGATGGAATTCACTAATCCATCGTTCCAATCAACATAGCGGGCAGCCTTGTGGGGATTTGAACAGCTGTTTCTTTTTTCTTTTTCTTTTTTTTTTGCCTGTCCCGTTTGGCTCTTTTGCCATCAGAATTATTGTCTAAAGACAAAGAAAGATGCCCAACGGATTTACTTTAGCAAATTGACCATCCCAGCCTTGCCATAATGGTCCATTTAATTCACCTTTTATTGTTTATTTTATTTTCACTTGCTGAATACGGGACAGACTTGACTGGAAGAAAGAAGGGGAGAAAGAAAGAGGGAAAGAGAAACAGCTGAGAAGAGGGACGGGGGAGAAGGGCAAAAAACAAAAACCAACAGAATGGGCAGAAAATGAAAAAAGAAAAAAAAATGCATCTATCAATCACCTGGGTCACCTGCTGAAAAACAAAAAAGAAAACAAGCAGAAGAGAACAAGAGTAATAGAATAAACAACATCACAATGATATATGGGAATATGACAGTAAATACTAAATATTAAACATTATTGTGCAGCACATAAGATCAACAGAACACAGTGTGCTTTGAGGTAGGAGCCAAAAAGGGTGTAGTTTGTATGTGTGAGCACCCGTGTGTACACCTGTGAGCATGGACGCGCTTGTTTTTTTAAAAGGTTCCTTCATGTAATAATCTGCTAGAGGGTGTGGGGGAGCCACAGCCCCGTCCTCCAGGGCATGAAGCAGGTATGGAGGAGATCAAAACTCCAGACATCCAGAGGCCCCCAGAACACAAGAGACCAAGGAAGACCCACAGAGGGGCAGCCGCGCCACTGTCCCAGTAAGAGCTGAGGAGAGTCCCAGATGAGGGCTCACTCAGCAGCCGCGGAGCAGTAGCCAGGGGGAGTTGCAATGACGCGCCCGTGAGCTCCGTCGGCAGCCAGCTGTGCCTAAGTGACCGAGCCCCAGGCCGAGAGGCCGGGGGCACCCCACCTCCGAAGTGGCCCGAGCGAGCCCCAGGCTCCAGGCCCCGATAAGCAGCCGCCAAGGAGTGAGCCGGTGTGTACCTGGACGCCCACCCCCAGACACAAAAACCACCAACGCACCGATGTCTGAGGGAGTCCGCCACTGGCAGGGGAAGTGGTGGTGGGGGGAGATAGGTCTCCATACTTTGGACGGCCTGAGATGTCCCCAGAGAGGTGGCGTCTGATACCCAACCTGACATATAGATACAAACATACAGGCACACACAGACACAAACATCCATTCCCACCCTCATGCTCTCATATGCACTCACTCCACACTCAACCAATGTGGAGACAGACATAAAGAGACGCTGTACACACGATCACACTCCCCAAGCGTACTCTACGAATCAGAATCAGAATACTTTATTGATCCCTGGGGGAACCGGGTCTAGGTACCCTTGCCCCTGGAGGGGGGAACTGCACCCAGACCCAGGTGGTGTTACCCTTTTCCCTGCGGTGGGGAGAGGCAGACCGCCCCGACTCCGCAGCAGCAGGGAGGCCCAACAGCTGTTTCTGCTTTTTTTATTCTTCGATAAGCCTGGGCCTAGCCAGCGCTGATCAGCAAGAAGCCTGTTATCATGGTTCCAAAAAGATAGATGTCTTCAATGGGCTCTCCCAAACCCAGGCTTCTCGTCGAGAAGAGGGTGTCAATTGCATTCAGGGACCAGTTGATCAAATCCATAATTCCTTTTTAGGTTTTAGAGAACAGACTGTGAGACTCTTCCAGGGTAGAGGGAGAAAAGTAGACAAGACAGAGACATGAGAAAGCCAAGCAGGAAGGATAAGGGAAGGGAGAGGGAGAAAATGCGACCGCCTTCGTCAAGAGCCAGAGAGAAGAAGAACTGGAACAGTTTGCTGTGGTTTATTCTGTTCCTGTCATAAATAAGAGTCTGGTAGCACTTTGCTCTCTTTCCACATTTTTAGGAAGGAAGTTAAGAAGAGTGAGTGAGTCGTCTTCCTCTGTGGGCCCAACATCAGGCAGCAGCAACGCATTTTTAAAAACCCAGCTCACTGCTTCACAGTTCCACCTGTCAGTTTCTGCTCTCTGTGCTGGGATTCCCAGAGGAGGTTCGGCGTGGTGTTGTTTTCCCCTGTCGAGGGTTCAGTTTTTGTGGCCTGAGTTGGACGTGAGTCATCCTCTGATACGTATTTGGAGTTTCGTCTGACGATGGAAGCTGGTATATTATTTCTGTCCTGGGTTTTAGCCAGTTTATAATCCTTAGGAAAAATCCCCACAAAACACTTAAAAGTCATAAAAAATCATTCAGATTTTGCAATTTGGTGACGAATCCATCGGATACTCCAAGATGAGCTGACAGAGTTCCTCTGACAGCTGAAGACAGATGCTGGGACCAAACAGGAGGATCCAAAATCATTTAATGTACCACTGACAGACAAACAGAGGACAAAACATCGAGAAATCCTACCAGTGGTTAGAAAAAGGCCAGATTAAAGGGACAGCACAGAGGCTCTGATCACGGCAGAGAAGAACAGGACCTAAGCATCAGATCTATAGATGCAAGAGTCTACCACAGCCAACAGGATTTTTTTTTATTACAAAAGTTCACACATCCAGGCATCCACTGACAATTCAAGGACGAACCACATCAAACTGGGAATGCTGACTTGCATCTTAAACTCCTGGCTGTCAAAATGTGAGACTTAGGGGATGCAGAGTAAAGTCCTTAACATCAGATTAGAAAGGAAAAACAAAAAGATAGTTTCACGTCTCATCAGTGTTGCTCATGGGGGGTAAATGTGCAGTAGGTCTCTCTTCGATTACAACAAAGTATAGTTCAGGACTGAGATGTGGAGAAACAAAACTGACTCTGCAGAGCGACTGACCAACATTCCAGAGGATGAGATAAGATAAGACTGCAGCGACTCACAGAAACATAGAAGCCAAACAATTGAAGTCAGTTTCATTTATATATCACAAAACCACAACAAAGTGGCCTCAAAGCACTTTGAATTGTAAGGTAAAGACTCTACAGTAATAACAATGATCCACGTGTGTGGATCTTTTTGCTTCATCTCATGGAATTGAATAGAATAGCCCTTTATTGCCATTGTACTGGAGTACAATGAGTAAAAAAAAAAAGACTCCAACAGTTTTGTAAACACATCCTGTCCCTATCCTTCCCCTCCACCTCTCTGTCCTACTAAGAATCTGAGGTAGAAATCATCTTCAGCAGTCTGAGAAAGGGAAGTGTCAAAAATTATAAGTAAATAAATAAAGTTATCTGCCCTCACAAGATGCACTCACAGATATTTTTCCAATCGCCTACAAGAGCGTGGACCGACTGAGGAGACAGTCATCTCAATCTTCAGTGAAAAACACAACGTAGTTAATTACAAAACGAAAATCCAAACACACATATCGCAAGATGCCCATTTCTAGGCATGGGCCGGACGTGTTGTTGTCTGAAGGTGATACTGATGCCAATTTGGCACGAATGGTAACGTAATCTTATTGAAATTTACAACATAGTGAAAGGTCTGTTATCTCCAGCTTAAAGCTGCGTCCACACTTACAGTCCTCAGGCAACCAGAGACCAACAACTTCTACTAACATGGCAATAAATAAACGTGAAGATAAATAAGAATAAATCAGCAGATAAAATAAATAAAGCAAAACTAACACACAAACCGAGTGACTCGACTTCTTGTAGTGACCCACTTCGTCTTTGTTTACCTTTTGATAGTAAAGTTTTTGCAAAGCAAATATGATCGAGTTTCCTGTAAATGTCCCTGAACGGCCCTGCTGGAAGCTGAGGTGTGTTTGAGGCGGGAGCGTTCACAGCTCTGTTACAAAGTTTCCACAGAATTCCACGTCCACTAAAGCCATTTCATTCTTTTTCTTCCCCTCTGGGATTATTTATCTTTTATTTATCCAGGTGAAAGTCTCGCTGAGGTTAAGATCACATTTCCAAGAGAAACCTGCCCCAGGGCAGCTGTGGCTACAACTGTAGCTTGCCTCCACCAGTGTGTGAGTGTGTGTGTGAATGGGTGGATGACTGGGTGTGTAAAGCGCTTTGGGGTCCTTAGGGGGGACTAGTAAAAGCGCTATACAAATACAGGCCATTTACCATTTACATCATCATCATCATCATCATCATCATGGCAGCAAAAGTTACAACACATAAAATATTCCATACAAACAAGTGAGTACAAACAAAGGTTATATTGGTTGCTTTACACATATAAAACACACAGACAAGAGGGAACAACCCAGGGTTTAGCAGGCGAGATGCAACAGTCAGTGCCTCTCTTTGCTGCTGGTTGTGAAAATGGATCGCACAGTTGCTCCAATAAATAAGAAAATAACAAACAAGGTAAATTGGAATATTCAATAATACAAAATATCATGAAATAGTTCTTATATATAAATGTCCCAATATATATCACACCAAACTGAAATATAAATACACTTTCAATTAGGCTGTCCCTCTTAATCACTGTTTTTTTCTCCGTAGAGGATTTGCGGACATTAAAGGTGTACCTCCTTGTACATCCTTTAATCGTTTCTACTGGCAGATTTCCAAAATTTTCCCAAAGTTTTACTTAAATGAGGTTTGGGATTATGGAAAAATGGGGCTGTGACAGTGTGCTGGTTGTAAGTAGCAAATATGAGCCTGTCCAGAATGATTGTAATGCACTAACCAACAACACTAATCCAACTATAATTTGGGTGTGCAGTAT